GTGTTTTCCTGCAGAGCAAAAATTACTCACCTCTACAGCAGCTACCGTATGCACGTGTTGGGCCACTGCCATATTCTGCACCATATCATAATTACCGTAAGCTTCAGCATCCGCACCATCAAAAGGTTGCTCATAATCGCTGGGCTCTTCAAATTTGATTAAACCGTCACACTCGCCACCAGCCGCAGTTCTGACAACTGGTGGTTCATGCTGAGATGGGTAAACAGGCTGTGTTAGGACTTGTTGGTACATTTGAGCACTTTCGTACGAGTAATCTACACTTTCCGGTTTGAACAGAACACCATTGTTACGATAGTTCACCATTGGTGGAGAGTTCATCTAAAGAGTCAATAATTTTCGAAACTAGGGAAAAGAAATGAAATGGCGGGCGGCCCACATCGCCAACGCAGCACACACGCACACGCGTGCTCACGCGGCGTGAATGCTCTGCGACGTGGTTCCATAGAGCTAAACTTTCAAATAACATACATCTCCCATTTCTGCAGGATGAAGGTCTCCTAAAGAATTGAATGACTTAATTTCAGGATTTGTTCGTTGGTCAAAGATCGTACCCGGATTCACAGACTGAGAATCCATAATTTGAACTTCAGCACCCATCAACTGTGGAATAGAGCACGGTGTCTGAGTGGGCACGGCGCTACTCACATCATATCTAAAAAAATTCTCTCTACGTAACGCACTAACAAACTATAGAAAGCCGCTTTTGCGTACCCACTGGGTGTATCGTATCCCCCAACCATATAACCAGAATTCATTGGAGTAGGTGCACCGGCAGCAGGCCATACAGTTTGATTAGAGTTCGCAAACATATTGACTGCCATGGGCCCAACATGATTTGACGACGATGAGCGGGAGACAGCAGTATGCTGAGAGATATGTGACATCTGAACGATATTCTCAAGTCTAAATTAGGTGAATTAGATGTAAACGAGATATCGTACCTCCAAAAAAGATCTGAAAACGAATTACCAAATCACCTTTCCAAAAAAATCATGTGGCTTATATCTAATTGTCAAATTAGATACACTAACACCAAAAACCAGTGTCAGATTGCACACGCTATGGATTTCGGACCAAAAGGACACGTCAACTCGCCATGGAGCTTGTTCCTGCTCTGCACCTACAATGCCAGGACAGTCTCCAACAACGCCGATCTTCACACCCTTCTTGATGCTGCAGGGCGCATCAACTACCACATAATCGCCTCGCAGGAAACAAAGTCCAGGAAGACAAACGTGAGGCAGCTGAGTGATGGCACACTCGAGGCGCTGGACTTGTCGTATACCCATCTATTGTCCATCTTGTCGATTCGCATGAAATCCTATCACCGTCTGGCTATCCCTCAACTCCGTCCTCTGCATCAGAAAACCACCACTATCGTAAACACTCTCCAACAGCAGATAATGATTCGGTTTATGCTTTTCATGAGGATTTGGAGGAAGCATCTACAAAGAAAACCTCTATAAGTTCGTCGTGGGTGACGTTCAATGCGAAAATCGGGATGCCAGCAGAAGGGGAGAACAGGATCGGGGATTTGGATCAGGATCTCTTATCCGCACAACTTAATCATTTCAGCTCCATCTTCATGAAGAAAGAACATGGCGGTGGACATGGGAGTCACCCAACGGTACAACTCATACATCGACTCATTATTACCAACCGTGGTACTTACTGAACGTCTCAGTGATA